GTTTGGAGGCGGCGGTGGGTGACCCCAAATCCCTCCACTTGCTTGTGGCAGTGCAGACTGCAGGCTGTATGCAGGTGTTGCCTGTATCATGGGCACCGTCGTGTAAACAGCAGTCATTACGAGAGGATAGCTGGCTTCGTGAGGCAGTGGTGTGTCTGCAATCTGACAGAGGGCATTCTTGTTGGGCATTCTTGTTGTGCGGAGCGTCATGACGCCTGCGGCAGTGGAGTCGGCGCGACCTCGGTGTTTGAATTATCTGGGTGCTTGCGCAGCTTCCCGCATGCATCACGTGTCCTGCCCAGCTTGAGATGGTCGGCCAGAGGTGCAGTGTTGCAGGGCCCTGGGCCCTGGCACAGACCATTTGTTAGGAGGGTGGGGGGTGCAGGAGAGAGCAGGCAGCGCCTAATGGGGGTTGAGAGGAGGGTGTCCCTGATGCACCCGCAGAGCCGCATAGGTGCTATGGGGGGTGCACGGCGGGTGGGAAAGCTCAGGGTGCGGCCAGGAGGCGGGTGGAGCATGACTGCACGAATAGGGGGTGCACGTGCAGGGGGTCAACAAGAAAGCGAGCTCAGCTGTGGAACATGATGACATGGAGCTGCTGTCATCGCTAGGGGCAAGTAGCGGATGGACCTCGAACTCCCGGTGGCCCCTGTCTCGAGTCGCGTGCCGTTCGTGTCATTGTTACAGCGAGAGCAACTTTGCAGTGGCAAGTTCCAGAAACAACGGGACGGTCCTTGGGCACGGTACTAAGGCTTAGTAATCGTGAGTTCAGATGGGCGGCACGACAAGCCCGGTGGTTGCAAAGGCGGCAGCCGCGTGCCAGCTGGCACGCAAGGATGCCTGCTTTTGCCCTACCTGCCCAGACTGTTCCCATCTCACTTGACTATGGTTAACGGAAGATGAGCAGACACGGGTGTATTGAGTCAGGTGATCAGCTAGCGGCAAACGCATAAGCTTCAACGGCTGCTGACAGCACGGCTGTGGCAGAGTGCCGACTGTCACCATGGCAATAAAAGATGATCAAGCCCCGTGTGTAAAAATGCTGCCAAAGGAGGTGACGAAAAACGCACCAATCAGTGTTGGGACGTTGCCGAAAGTCTCTCGGGCTTGCACTGCTACCGCTGAAGAACCGGGGTCAAGTCAGCAATATGAGACTTGAGGCCCCC